GGCTGGGAGCCCTGCGGGCCGGGGGTCGGTGCCGGGGGCAGGCACTTTGCCTCCCCGCAGGTTTCGGCCTCTCCCCGCGGTGCCGTGTGAGGGCAGGATTTAAAAGCTGGGCAGAGGAGGTGCTTAGGGCCAGGGTTTAGTGGTGGGATGGCAGGGTTAGGGGAACAGTTGGGCTTGATGATCTTAAAGGGCTTTTCCAACCAAGTGGTTCTATGATTCTATGAAAAGCTCTGGAGCTACAGGATATAAGGCCAGGTTGTCAGCCTGCCATGACCTAGGATGTACCCATACCTGAGGACAACCCGATTCCTCCACAGTTGTGTTCTGTTAACTTTATTTCACACTGTATACATCCTCAGTGTTTTGTTTTTTTTTCTGCTAAGTTAATTTGCACAAGTTTTCTTTTTTGCAGAGAATTTAAATAGATGATACCATCTTCCTGGTCTCCCTGATGGAGTGGTTATAAAGATGATGACTGCAGATGTGAGTCAGTGGGATGAAATTATTTGTGGTGTGGTTGCTTATCAACATCCACGTTGCTGGAATGCGCTAAAGAAAACTGAGGAGGGACATCCTTGGATCAGTTTCGGAAACTCTTTCAATTTTTAGAGCATTTTTGGAAAGGGAAGATGAAGTTACGGTTAAATTCTGATTTTCACTAAAGAAGGGAAAAGAGCATTCTTACTCTTGAGATAACTAACTTGGAGTCCTAGTGAAGTTAAGGCAGGTTTTGGGTTTCACGTGAGGTAGCTAGTCATGTTGGGCACTGATCACAGATGCTTAGATTTTTAAAGCTGGGAATGATCTGTAGGTTGCCTAGTCTGACCTGTATAATGTGTGACTTCACCAGAATTTATCTCTGTAGCTTGTTCAAATAAAGCCTCTCAACTTGGATAGCAGACGTCAAGAAAGAGAGAACGTGTTACTTGCCTTGGCAGGAAAGTATTTCCCATGGCAGGAAATGGCTTGTTAAATTTAAGTGCTCAATTTCCGACATGATTTTTTTCCTCATGTATATATGTTCATGCAACCTCACTCACTAATGATTTTATTCCACGTGTGGGCCTCAGCGACGTGCTTTCGTTAATCTTTGTAAGTGAGGTTTGTATATCAGCTGTCTGGAGCTTGCTTTGTATGCTCACTGGTCACGTCTTGCTAGCGTGTGCCTGTAGGTCTGATCTCCTGTTTCACCAAGTGATTCATCAATACTAGACAAATGTTGCAGTCCTGTCCTTAAAGTGTTTTCTGCTGGCTTTCAGTGAGAACTGGATCACTATGGACAGATAATTAAGAAGGAATGGTTGTACTTGCCTTTCAAGAATTTCTCAAGATGTATGGCAGTCTGACCATGTGCCCTCCTCCTCTGTAGCTGGGGAGAGCCCTTCAACGACAATTCCAAGCAGCAAAGTGGCTGTTGGGGTTGTGGTAGCCTTCCTGCCCTTGGAAGGAAGGTTTGGGGCTCTGCAGGTCCCACGCGTGGCTCAGCAAATGCTGTGGTGCGAGGGATGCGTTTTTGGCACTTAGGCCCTGGGCATGAGCTCTGCCTAAAGGACAAACAGCAGTTGCTATAAGGTAAATTCTTGTTTGCTTAGCTAGAAATTCTGGCTATTGTTAAGTGGAGCCATCGTGGCAGTGCACTCTGTAATTATCAGGTCCTCGGTGTTCATCTTTACTTTTCTTAGACGAACTTTCAATGCTGAAAATAGTAAACATCTCCCCCAGCCATTCTTCAAGGAGGTGGATTAGGTTTTCTGAGTGTCACAGGACTCCTTCCACCTCCGCTGCGCCCTCTCTTCTGTGTTCTCCAATTCAAGGAAGCTCAGAAGAAGATACTGATGTCAGGAGAATTATGCCGAAGGCCCGTCTGTGAGTTTCAAGCCTGCAGTAAGGGTGGGCACTCCGATGACAGCCTGCTTGTTTTTCTCAGAATTTCACAAAAGTTTACACATTTATGGTCCAGCTGCAGCAGACACAGAACCCACCAAGTAGTGTTTGTACTCTGCAGAATGCACTGTTGGTACAGATGGGTTTGAATCTCACTTAACTTCTGTGAAAATGATATTTCAGTATCATCATGGCCAAAGAAATAATAATAATAATAATAATAATAATAATAATAAAAAGTACAGATTATTCCTGCATAGAGTAGTTGTTGTGGAATGCCTGTATTGTTTCCATCATTCTCGAAGCCGTGTTATGCAATGGGTGTGAGACAAGTCCTGTAATGAAGAGGCTGTTACTGCAGATGAACCTCTTCCTCATCTAAGAATGGGGGAGGAAGCATGCCCGAAGGTGGTACACAGGCAAGTTGATGTTCTGATCTGCAAAACCTCTGCTCTGGGCACCGAAAACAATCCTGTTGGGTCTGCTGGGAACACTCTCGGATTGCAAGATTAAATGTAGGCATAAAGCTCTGTCAGGTCTGGAGCCTGCAAATCCGTAAGCGTGTTCCTAACCCCTACAGGCTGTGAGTCACTTCACACCCTTCGTCTGGTACCTGGATCCACCCTAAGCGGCTGTGGAGAGCGAGCTGTCACCTGTGGTGAGTCAGAGGGGACAGCGATGTGCTCAAAGCCAGAACTCAGCGAGTGCCCTGTTCACTATCGGTGTTTGTGACAGAACAGCGAGGGGCCCCATGTTCACAAAGCTGAAGGCAGGGACAGGGCTGAAACCAGGCTGGCTTCAGTGGTGTGGGACGTTGTACAGGGATTTGCAGTTGTTTAAATTTCTCTGGTAGAATGTCCATGGCTGCTCTGCTTTTCTTTTTTTTTTTTTTTTTGTTGAAGAAAAATGAATTTTAAACACTTGATGGTATCCTTTTTGAAAGCAAATAAGCTTTTAGTCATTGTATTTTCTAAATTTTCATAGAATCACAGAATAATTTAGGTTGGAAAAGCCCTTTAAGCTCACCAAGCCCAACCGTTCCCCTAACCCTGCCATCCCACCGCCCTTGTGGGGAAGAAATTTTTCCCAATGTCCAATCTAAACTTGCTCTGGCACACCTTGAGGCCGTTTCCCCTCGTCCCATCGCCTGTTCTCTGGGAGCAGAGCCCAACCCCCCCCAGCTCCCCCCTCCTGTCAGGCAGTTGTAGGGAGCGATAAGGGCTCCCCTCAGCCTCCTCTGCTCCAGGATGAACACCCCCAGCTCCCCCAGCCGCTCCCCAGCAGCCTGGGGCTCCAGACCCCTCCCCAGCTCCCTTGCCCTTCTCTGGACACGCTCCAGCCCCTCCATGTCCTTCTGGGAGTGAGGGGCTCAACCAGCATTCGAGGGGTGACCTCACCACTGCTGAAAAGCGTACTTCTCAAGTGCATCTGTCCTCAAACTTAGCTCTAATGTCTAGAATCATTCCATCTTTCCTTTCCCTAAAGACAAAGTAGGTGCTGCAGTGAGGAGCCGGGTTCCCAGTGGAGTGCGCTACCATGTAGGTGTCACTTGGACACTTCTCCAACTTCAGGTCTAAGGTTAGATCATCTCTGACAAAGGCCTCCAAATACAACGGTTTCATCCTCAAAATATCTTCCTGGGATCCTTTTTTAACATAAAGTAATTCAGGAGTTTTGACTATCAAAAAATTGCCAGCCTAAAAGTGTACTGATTGAGTGGACTTTCCTGTCTGAGCTAAGAAAGATATTTGGACAAATTATGTGTACCAGACAAGGAGCTATTTTCAGCTGCATGGACCAACTATTACATTAATGTTAACTTTGTTAATTCACTTTGGAAAGTGCTTTGAAAAGGAAACCTGTAGGGTAACCTCTAGTTTGCCTTTCATACTGTTCTT